AGCTTACTCTTCCTTCCCTAGAATAGGGGCTAGACCGCTGATCTGCATGCCCAAAGCGGCCCTTACATGCTGGGACGGGTCTGATACGAGATCTTCGATGCTTGTCATTATCTCATTTAAAAGTGTCTCACGGTCAAGGAGCCGACAGAAACCTGGAGCCGTGTTAGTCTTTAAATGGGTAATTAATATTTAGTGGCGCAAGGCTAACCTGGAATCTGCCCGGCAATAGCGGTGCGGACCTCTGCTTCGGTATCCTTGAGGAGCTTGACGAAAGCTGGGACCAGGTCACGGTTGACAACTTCCTCATCGACAGCTTTTGCGATCTATAAGGCGTCAGTAATATCCGGGACAGGGTGTTCTGTAAAAGGATTGCATATAAGGGAGATAGCTACCTTTTCGAATTTGTCTGCAACCATGTACCTTACTCTCCAGCTCTTATCTTCAAACAGATTTCGGAGAGCTGTAAGAAGAACGCCATGACTAGATTGCTGTTCCTTGAAGATTTCCTCTGCTATGGAGATCAAAATTTCAGCAGTTAAGAGACGGACACTATCCTGGTCATCGTTTGCCAAGTTCTGGAATAAAGGAACCATCTCCACTATGATAACCTGCGAATCCATCTCTTTCACGAATTTCGCTAGGTTATTGGCAGCCTGCCGTCTAACCATAGGGGTATCATCATGGACTAATTGCCCAAATTGTTGTCGTAGCCCCTGCTGTAAAGCTGGAGAGGCAGTTCTGTAGGGAGTACAGTAGAGGCCGGCCGCAGATATCTTGGAGGTGAACCAGTCTGCCTTTGAGAGACGGACTGTCAAGGGTATAAAATTGTCTTCGATCTGCCGGGGGGAGAGTTGCTCGCAGATCTTGTTGAGGGACTCTACGGCCTAGAAAGAAATAAAGTATTGCCATGTTAAACGCGGTGTTCCATATGAAGATTAATAGACATGAAAGCTAGTGTAATCTTACCTTTTCTCGCACCAATGGCTCCTCTATGGCTGCCAGATGCTCCAAGGGGGAAAGAAGGACGTGGGCATATTCTGGCCCACCGACGTATTCCACGAAGTTTCCAAGCTCTTCACTTAGAGCGGTCAAAACTTCGTCTTCATCCTCGACTGAGTCTAAACAGTAGATATTATCAATAACAATGCTCATCCATCAACAACATAGTATTCCGGGAGGAGGGGAAAGGGGGAGCGGGAGGTCTTCACGCACCATCAAGGAACGGCACCAACTCGTCTCGCGTTCTCTCCGGTCCGAGGGCGAGAGCGATTGTTGAAAGTCGATGAATTGCGTTTAGACGAAGAATCACATCATCATGCTATGTCCATACACCGGAGGTCATCAGTAAGCCGATAGGTCTGTTGGCCAGGGGGGGCGCCGCTATTTGGAGATTTGTTATGTATACCTTCAGCTCATCAATCAAGACGGCAATGGGATAGAGCTCGTCATTTTCGCCTTGGCCTTCCATGGCGGAAACGAACTATTACGCGAGCGAGAACGAAGATGGTTTATTTGTGGGCGGAACTTGGTTGCTGCTTCGACGGAAGGGCTATGCGATGTGCTATCAAGCAAACGAGAAAACGGGGGGGGTAATGATAGTCGTTCGTGTAGGCAGATGACAGGCGGCGTGTATCGGCGAGAGCTACTATAGAGCCGGACTGGTTAATCTATCGTATTTGTACCCGGCCACAGGAGCTGGCAAGTGCACGGTGTTGTGAGAAGAGGCGGGAGAAAGGGGCGTTTGATGGATGTTTTGGTTGCTGTCTCGTGGGGTGAAAGGCAAGACGCCCGTAGACGAGACAGCGGCGGCGGGCAGCACGAAGACGTACTCTGGACTGTGGACGCTGGTCAGGGACACGGCCGTCTGGCGGAGGACGATGCGAGAGAATCGAGTTGCTGGGCGTTTCCTGCAGCGTTCGACGGCGACGGTCGTGGTCAACTGTTGATTGCAGGCGGTGGTGAATGTTTCGCTGGCCGCAGTTCAGTTCGCAGCAAAAGCAGAACTTGGGCGGATGGAGCGAAGCTGTGGCTGGTGAAGGGGAGAGTCAAAAGAAAGGGCTGTGGCTGTGGCGGTGCGGCTCTCCCAGCGAACCCTTAGCTTATGCTGACTAAGCTGAACCCAAAGGGGAGTGCATCCACCGTCCTCGCTAACCAGTTCGTTACTCTCTTCCTTTCTACTTGTGATCCTCTTCTTATTTTCCTTTTGGTAGCTGCTTGCAACGGAGATACAGAGGTCGCAGGCGGGTCTGAAGAAGCCCGGACGCCCCTGCGTGAAGCTTTATTCCTCAATTGTTTGTCTAGCTGGTGGAATTGACCGAGAAACAGCGCCCAAGATGCCTATGGTCACTGTTGATAAGGCGGCCCTGTGCAAGGCGCTGGGCAAAGAGTGAAGACCACCCACTACCCTTTTCGCAGCTGCCGTCTCTGCTGTATATTGACTATAAGGGCCTAATATTAACTGATATCCCGCTGCTAGATACACCACCGAGGAATTCGACCAGCTATGCTTCGACTTTGGTGAGTCACCCCCACTACTATTCACTAGATATCTCTATATGTAAGCACCTAGTGACTAACCTGCATCCGAACAGGCCTCGAGCTCGAAGAAGACGTAAGCCTCTTCCCTTAGTACTGCTTATACTATCTCGATCAGTCCGTAACAATTGCATAGACCACCGACTGCGACCGGCCATATGTGAACGGCGTCCAGGAACCCCCGCAACTCAAAATTGAAATCCCTGCCAATCGGTTCGTCCCACTGCACCTTGCCAGTATACCTGAAGGATGTGGGTTTTGACTTGTTGTATAGTTATGACCTACTATGTTATGAGGGTTTATCCCTTATGTTGAATATTTTCCTCGGAAGAGCCGATTCACCGAATTATAGAGTAGTCACCCCTCCAAGCGGAGAGCTACAAACCCTTATCGTCAAGCCAGAGGTGAGACTGAACACCAGTGCGGAAGATGATCAATTGTCAGAAGCTGAAACAGGCAAATTATCCAGACCGAAAGTGTACGACCATATGTGGCCGGCGCTGTCTTCCGCAACATCCGTTTTGACCAAGCCCGATACAATTCCTTCATTGCCCTGCAGGATAAACTTCACCAGAATATTGCCAGACAGAGGACACTGGTTTCTATCGGAACACACGACCTTGACACCATTCAAGGCCCCTTCACATATGAGGCTTTGCCACCAAAGGATATAAAATTTATCCCTCTAAACCAGACCAAGTGCATGGATGGCGAGGAGTTGATGGAATTCTATGAAAAGGACAAAAACTTGGGCAAATACTTGCATATAATTCGTGATTCACCCGTATACCCAGTTATCTACGATTCAAAGAGAACCGTTTGCTCCCTACCACCAATCATTAACGGGGACCATTCAAAGATAACGCTGAATACTCGAAATGTTTTCATGGAAATCACGGCCACAGATAAGACAAAGCTGGAGGTCGTGAACAACATCATGGTCACCATGTTCTCACAATGCACAGATGAGCCATTCACGTACGTTTTATATTCTAGACTACTCCCTTTACAACGCAACATGAAGCTAACCTGCTCCTCACCAGAATTGAGCCTATCAAAATTGTTTCTGAGCATAATGGGGAATCAAGACAGGTTCCAACACTTGAGCCAAGGACAACACAGGCTAGCATAGCCTATATCAACCAATGCACCGGTCTATCCCTTTCTGGCCCTGAAACCTGCAAGTTGCTCAAGAAAATGGCTCTTTCGGCTAAGGTCTCTGAGACATCTGACGATACTCTTGACGTTACAATCCCAGTTACCCGAGCAGACATTCTCCATCAAGCTGACATCATGGAGGATGTTGCCATTGCACACGGTTTCAACGAACTTCCAAGATCTTTCCCTAGCAAATCTGGCACAATTGCCCAACCTCTTCCAATCAACAAATTAGGGGACATAATTAGAGGAGAGGCTGCCATGGCAGGGTGGACGGAAGTGCTCACTTTTGCTCTATGCTCACACGACGAGAACTTTTCCTGGGTTAACCGCAAAGACGATGGGACGACAGCTGTCAAGCTCGCCAACCCCAAAACAGTTGAATTCCAGGTTGTCCGAACAAGCCTCTTGCCCGGCTTGTTGAAAACTATCCGTGAAAACAAGAATCACAGCTTGCCCATAAAGATTTTCGAGGTCAGTGATGTAGGACTTAAAGACCTCTCGCTCGAGAGAAAGAGTCGTAACGAACGACACTTCGCTGCAGCCTGGTACGGGAAAACAAGCGGTTTCGAGGTTGTTCATGGTCTACTAGACAAGGTCATGATGATGATGAAGAGCGGTTTCATTGTTGGAGAAGAAGGATTGGATAACGCTGCTGTTAAGGGGTCTCAGTACTGGATCGAGGAGCTCGATGGTAAGAGCCCTCTGTAATTTTTTTTTTTTTTTTTTTTTTTTACCAAATATGTTGTCTATTGATTATGCTAACATTGACACCCGGTAGATCCCACTTATTTCCCTGGCCATGCTGCCTCCATACACTTACGTATGGACGGAAAGGAGAGCGTTATTGGGACTTTCGGTATATTACACCCAACAGTTCTTGAAAATTTCGACTTGAGGCATCCCGTGAGCGCCTTGGAAATCAACATTGAAACTCTCCTGTAAAACCCTCACTAATACCCATTGTCGAGAGTATGAACGAGTGCAATTATATCAATCAATACATAGCATGTGTTACGAAGCTTCCAAGCCAGTCCTTATCATATCAAGTACTGCCATATATGCACCCGATAAGTGTACAAGTAGGTATAGGCATCTTTTTCAAAGAAACCTTGATAGAGAAGCCCAATTTGAACATGTCGTTCATCACATCCATTTCAATTCTATTTCAATGATTAAAACAAGGAGTTGAAATTTTGGAAACGGATGATGAAAGAGTTCAAAAATAAATTAGAATAACTGAGAAATCCCGTTGCAACAAAATCATAAAACCGAGTCGCTCATATTTTCTTCATTTATTTTTGTTTTTACTCTTGAGGCTCTGCGGCGTCGCCCTCTACAACCTGACCCTCCTGCTCCTGCTCAGCTAGCCGCTGTTGTTCAGCAAGCTGTTGGGCAGCAGCAGCCTTAGCTCCGTAGTCCTGGCTCATTGGCTGGAGGACGGGCTGTTCTTCCTTTGGCTCAATGATAGTGACGGAATCTGGAAGAGTCTTCTGAGGACCAGACTTGCCCTCTGGATCACTACCGCGCATGATCTTGACCTTGATACCGAGAACACCCTGGCGGAGGAGGACGTGACGAGTGGCGTGGTCAATGAAGTCGCGAGCTGGCTGACCGGAGTGGATCATGAAACCATCCTATACACAGATTTGGCAAATTAGTTGTCTACTCTCTCTACCTCAATCTCATCCCTGCGATATCAACTCTCAAGAAACGTACGGTGAACTTCATGCTCTTGGCACGGGCAGCTCGTAGCTTTCCAGAAACAACGACCTCACAACCCTTAGCACCGCTCTCCATGATGAATCGGAGAACACCATAGCAAGCTCTTCGGACGGCCAAACCGTTGAGAAGCTTGTATCTCAAGCTCTCGCACTGAGCAACGGCAGAGAGACCACGGTTCTGGACCTTAGCGGCATAGAGGGAGACGGAGTTCTCTGGGAACTTGAATCGCTTCTGGATGAGGGAGGTGAGTTCACGGATGCGACGGCCCTGTTCACCCAAAACTTCTTGCGTGTGAGTGGCGCGGATAACTATTCAGTAAGATGTAGCTGTTAGTACTCAGAGTTCTCAATCATCTTTGGCCATTCAGTAACTCTCGTTTATTGTATTTGATATTTCAATTCCAGGTTCGCCTCGTCTGGGGCTCTGGCCCTGGCTTTCCGCTTGCCATTCATTCGCAAAAGCCAAGGGGTAGGAAAACGTTTTTGTAAGGAATAAACGTACTGATATCGGTAACGGTAGGAGTGACACGGACTTCGACACCGGAGTAGCCCTCCTCAGCCAATTCGCGCTGGAAGAACTCGTTCAACTCGGCGTAGAACACACCGTCGGCCACGAACTTGCGGCGCTTGGAGATGGCTCCCTGTACAGCTGCAGACATGATTGCGGTCTGTCGAAACGTGTGATTTCGTTCGGTAGGGCTGAGAGTTATCCGCCGGAGTTGAGGTCGTTGAGCTGCAGCTGCTGTTGCGGTGGTTCGAGATGTTCAACTTTTAGACGCCTCGAAAGTCTTGCGGTTAGCTTTCCTAATTTGTCGATTTGGTGGTGGGGGAATAATCTCTAAGTTAGGGCTTAGGGCTAATGAATACCTGGCTGATCGTTAACGCCTTAATAAGCGGTCAGTGTCACGTGATTAAACCTTGAGATATCAAAAAAGATGCGAGACGTGAAGTAGATGATCATAATCCATGGATCATACGGAGTAGATTCAATTTCTTTGTCATTTCTAAGAACCCTTGTTGCTGCGGACTCGACGTATAGCGGAAAAAAAAAAAAAAAAAATCAAAACGAGAGAAATGCCGAACAACTGCGGGTATTGTGACATGGCTCGTTAGTAGTCGTAATAGTAGTAAAAGACACTCAGCCCGTTCCCTGAATGCAAGGAGCAGCCCCAATCGTAAACGTCATAAACTCGAAATGTCCAACAAATCCCTAAAACTCCAAAATGCAACACCCAGTCCCAGATAGCCGGGCTTTATTCCCTTAACAGACGCCTAGATCCTCCTATGGAATGTGTCCGAAATGCCCGTAAGAAATTGCCGTCTACGTCATCTCTACCGCCTCCATTTCCCGTGCATTGATTGTTCCAGGACCATCTCCTTTCCCTACAGGCAAGCTTAAACCAGAAATATTGGCCGCAAGAGAAGTGATACTAGTTGTAGGGCCGGTTGTAGAAGACTGAGGTGCAGCCAACTGCTGAGAAACAGCGACAGGGGTAACCGAGCGATCAGCGGTTTCGACAGCAACCATAGGGGTCATAGATCCACTTGGGCAATCTCTTTCAACCAGGACACCACTGTTTGCTATGCGAGGATTATTCATTTCGGAATCGTTGCGTCCAAATGATTCAGCCCACCATCTAACTTCGTATGTGCGAGGAAATAGTAAACGCTCACTACCACGTTTGTTGTCGTCGATAAGAGGGTCATACTCCGGGTTGATGAACTGGCTTCGCCTGGCTAGGAAATAGTCCCAGACGCTGCGAGTCTTTTCTTTGGCTCCGCGATCAACACGTTCCTTTTCACTGTTGTAAAGGAATGTACCGTACTGGCCAGAGTAGACATGGTAGAGCAGCCGTCGCAGAAAACGTTCGTTGAATTCAAAGCGGGTAGGGTGTTGGTAGAGAAGCTGATATGTAGCATCCAAGAATTGATGAAATACAGGGCTAGTTTCCTTGGGCTTTGTCATATCACTGTCACTCACTGGTGATTTTGGATTGGAGGTCGCCCTCTTCGAGTTCGAGGAGTCAGGGTCGGTCCTGTCGCCGTCACCCTCTACCAATGACTCCCGGCTGACGTTGTCCCGGTTAAAGAAGCCTTTTGCACTGAGCAGGGCATTTTCAAGGGCTTTGCCTGCTACTCCCCCCTCAAAAGCACCTCTTGCAGAGTCACTGCCCCGATCATTTTCGACTTGAAACCACTTATCACTGTTAAGATGCCCTGACCTATGACGGAACATGTGACCGAACGCAAGCCAGTCCTTTTCAACAAGAACCATGAATCCTTCCAAAGTTCTATAATACGGATCTAAACAGAGCTGGCTCAGGGCGCTGAGTTGGCCAGTTCTGTCCCATCCATCAGAGCAATGAATCAGCACATGTGAATGCTGTAGGCCAACCTGCCGGGCGATCAATGCTGCCCCGTCGAGAATGACAGCGATGTACTTCAGCCATCCACTCTTCAGTAACTGATCTCTATTTGGTGGCAACGGACTGATATCAGAATCCCTGAGCGCTTCGATGACTTTATTAAGCGAGTCCCTCATAACATGGATGTTGTCAATGCCCAGATAGGCCTTAGCAGCAAATTTGTAGTTGTCCATGTTTTCGGATCCCAAACCAACAGCCTGCATCGCAAGAGCATTCACAGTAGGGCGAGCATCGACAATCAGGTTATTTTGCTGAGCTCCATATATTTGTGTTTTATAGTCCTTGATATCATTCCTGGCGGAGGCTACAACTTCGTCCTCCAGTTCTTCTGCATTCGAGAATTCAAAGTCGGAGTGAATTCCAAACTGTTCTTCTGCACTTGAGTTGGAGGATTCTGTTTCTAAGGAAGGGGGCGATGCGTTTGCTAGAGGCCGATCCTGCCGGGATGTTGAGAAAATAGCAGCAAGGAGCTTCTCATCTTGGATGCTGCGGTTGTTTCGGACGCCAACAAGCGGCTGAGACGAGCGAGTTATGGAACAGTTATTGACAGGGTGAAGATAGGTCAGAACTGGAATCCGCGCTCTTGAGCGATATCTCCCAGCATAATTAATCGTATTATCGGATATATTGCTCGGAACTGGGAGGAGGGCAGGATACGTGGGCGAGAACTTGCCAGGAAATGTTAGCTAACTTTAATATGAACAGGCAGGAAGGGAAAATACAGAACGGACCTTATAATCTGTGTTGATACAGGATATTCGCCAGTTAGAGTCCTGATCTGCCCTGCCTACTCCAAGACGAGCCCATTCCTTGCGAGGGTTATATAGTTCCCATCCATTCAAAGCAAGCTCGGCTGCAGGAGGCTGAAAGGTGAACGCATAAAGCTTTTCTATGCTTCCAAGCTTGCATGTCCATGTTCTTATAGTCTCATAGACATCTCTACTCCTCGCCTCATTTGGAAAAGTAAAACACATAAAGCTGAAGTCGCGGCAGCGGAGGCGTATTGATGCTGGCTGGCGTGATGCAAGAGATGCAGGTCTGTAAGTACAGAAACAGATAATAGGATATGTGATCCATATCTCTTTATGGCCCACAGTCGGCTTATCCTTGGAATGCTCTCTAGATGATTCTTTCTGGGGTGGAATATACGAGAAGACAATATGGTGGGGAGTAAGGTGAAGACTTCCTATTGCCTTCTCTCCCCGGCGGAATAGAGTGACCTCATCTACCTGTGATACATGAGCCCCCATAATTAGTCATGTATATCAAAGAGTGAGAGAGGGATAAGTAGTAAAAACCTTAGCTATCCTTGTTTTATCCATCTTCTCGTAACTAGATAGTCTCCCTATCGGCTCAATATCATGCTGGTATGGCACAGAATGACGTGGTCGGCAATAGAGGAAGGAATATAATCCTGGAGAAGGACATCAAAGGTTGAGAGAACTGGAAGAAAAGAAGGCAATAATACAAGCCTTAGATAGCAAATAAAGGCTAGATCCTTAGGTGAAAATATATTGAATATCACTTGTTTTTCTCAGGACTTAAAAGCTCATTTTGATAATAGGACCTTTTTATCAAGTTAGGATGAACTATCAAGTGACAACTAGTGGCTAACCTAGTTATTAACTAGTTACGCTTACGTTATCAGTCACTGGTTACCTTATAAAGCTTTTCAGCGATTACTTCTCGGAATCAATTCATATAGTAGAAGAACAGTAGGTAGTCTTGTTGAATTATATTCATCTTTTTATATTGCTCTATATAAATAATAAACCCTATAGTTATACTGAACGAGACATGATATATGCAGAGAAATAAAAGTAGCTGAAGAATAAGCAACTGGTAGAGGGTAGTAATACATAAAAGAATATACGGGTCTAGGTATCACGGCGATCAAGGTTCTTCTCGAGTAGGCATTCTTCAAATAGTTTTTGGTCAGGCATGTCTCGGTCGGACTGTTGCTGAAGCGCTGCAAAGCCGAACGCTAAGTGGCAGGAACGAAGGTAAAATGGTAACAGTGCGGATTGAAGGGAGCCAATGGACGAGTCAGTTTGTGGCAAGGAGCTTAGTTTCCTGTTAGGCAAAGCGTTCTGTGGTCGCCGCTCATTATCGTAAAGCCCAAGGGTTAGGCTTATCTCTGTGGTCTTCGTAGGGAGATAAGGTCCCATGTCCCTGGTACCAAAGGTAAGATCGAACTCCTTGTATATATATTTCGAGACACTAGCTTCCGCAAGCGATTGCACCGGAGGATAGACGTAATACTCTCCAGTGACATACTCAAGCTCTTGTGTGCTTTGTGCTGGTGCCCTTTGAGATGGTTCTTTTGCTGGATCCAGAAGCTCAGCAAAAGTTTTGGGAATCACAAAGTTACAGAATAAAGGCATCGAAGGCTGGTTTCGAGTGAGAGGGAGGTTGAGTTTGAAGGCTTCAGCACATTGGCGGAGGCTTGAATTAAACACATTATCCGTCTCTGCATATGCACATTCGATGCACTCCCGGTTGAAGAGGTTGTAATAAACCGTCTTGTTGAACCGGATATCGAGGGGGCACTCAGGCAGAAGCATATCCACATCTCGGCTGCTGACAATGGCGCTTATGTTCCGGATTGTCGGAGTTGTTGATATTTCCTCACTGTCTTCTGGCGAGGCAGCCTCTAGCTCAAGCTCAAGTTCTGGTAAGAACAACTGCTCCTTACGGGAGGGCAGAAGCCGGATACGAAAGATAATTTTCTTATCATCGCTTGTAGCAGCTTCCAAGGAGTTCAGAAATGCAAGGGTATTTGGTACTTCATTGATAAAAATTCTGGGTGTTTGTAAACCCTCGATATTAGGAAAAGATGCCTGTCCAGAATCATGTGTAGATCGACCTTCGAACAAGCATTGTCCGACAGATGCTGTAATAACTTCGCGTGTACGATGTTGGTCAAGCAACCTTTGACTACCCAAATCATCTTCATCGAACAGAAGCTCTAGAAGTTTATGGAAGGGTTTCACAGAGCCCTTTCCATATATAGAAGCTGGAGGCCTTCCAGGAACCCTCCCATCACTATCTCCTGATTTTATCCATCTAAACCATTCCTTCTGTCTGTTCGGGAGATCCATGGAATCGGAATAGAACACAGGGTATAAGTGGGCATTCTCAGAGTTGGTAAGATTTGTAAATAACCCGCCTTTTTGATGGAGAGAAGATGCTGCGAGATACAGTGTCCGTCGTGCTCGATGCGCATTGGACTCGTTATCATGGAAGTAGTGAATACTCACAGCGGTGTGTTCCCGACCTATATCCAATGATACGTTGTATTCGCTTTGTAACCATGGGAGAAGAGTATTTTCCCAATAGTTCAAGTCTGCGGTAGCTTTTAGTTGCGCAACGGAAAGACCGGTATCTATCGACCGGACATCGGAAGCCCATTCTTTAAGCTGCTGACTTGTCCCCATGCACGCTTCCTTGCTTCCCGTTATGCGTATTAACCCGAGATGTCGCGACACGTCGATATTGACTTTATGGGATTCGGCGAACATGTTCAGGAGCGGCATGGTTGGGAGCAGTAGTACTGACATTGGCCGCGTGTCCAAATGAATGTCAAGCTGCCCCTCCTCCCCATCAATTGACAATTCCCAAGACTCTCTTAGTATTCTTTCGACCAACTTTTTCTTGGGTCCCATCTCCTTAAAAGCTGGGATTCGGCTCGTAATTCGACCTTGGGGAGCTGGAGGCTGGTCTAAGTAGGGAGAGTTTCCAGCCCTCCATTCACTTGACTTTTCAGATTCTGTATTTCGCTCAGAATTTTGGTAATACTTTCTTAATTGCTCAAATGTGAACCCATCACTGAGCGTGTTGTGAAGATGCTTCCAATCTTTCGGCAGGAGGGTGTCACCAGGGCTATATAGAGCGCGAAGGTGGTCGAGGTTCTTCTCTACATCTTCAAGCTCGAATTCAACCCTTTCATTATGCAAGTCCTTTAGTAACTCCGTCGGGCTCTTCCATGAACTCTTGCCGTTAGCCGGCTGCACGACATCTCGCGGGCGACGGGGCCTATTATCCACTATGACCACATGGGCCGGTTTGCCTAGCACCTTAACATTCTCTAATTGTTGAATACGATGAGGGGATCCGTCCAATTTAGCTGGATTCTCCGTTGACGCCGGCGTTGGGTCATCGTGTGATGGTTCATGGGTGTGATCCGCAGAATGAGGTCTCGGTATGGGCGAACTCGGGGGTGGTTTCCGAAGATTCGAGAAGTTTCGGCACCTTGCGAAGCCTGCGGCATGTACGCCTCTTTTCAAAAACATATGTATAGCGTGCAAGTCAATCCAGCGGGAGGCTACATGGTAGTTGCAATATACTGACCTTGGGAGGAAAGAGACCTAGCTTCGAGTGAAAATAAAAATAAAGTTTCTTGCGTTCTCAGGATTTTTATTCTTCCGTAAATGAGGCCCCGCACGGGCCCGCTGGTAAGATTAAGGTTTCGGGAATAGAAAGTCTATCTCTATTGCATCATAATTTCATTATTAATGGGACAGCAATCATGGCTAGACTACAGTAAACCAGTGCGACAATAAGACGTTTGACTGCAACCGGAGTCTAGGAGAAAATCCATGTTTTTATATAATACATTTACGTATATGATAGTTTTACTGATTCACTTTCCTTATGTATAAATAAAAATGCCTCCCGCTAAAACTCGTTCCTGTAGGCATGGGAAACGCTGTACAGCGAAATGGCCATGTTCGCGAGCATTTAACCGATATGATACGACCAGCGGACCGTCGCCCCTCAGTGCTACCGTTGTGAATCCTCCTTAGCCCATGAAACCTCCCAGCTGCGTAGATCTTCCCTATAATCAAACTCTGTAAGAGTCTTTCTCTTCCGCCTTTTCCCGCCAGATCTCTCAAACGCGCCTGTTTCGTTCCTTTCCTTGCCTACTGCTCCAAAGGAAAAATCAGAGTGCCGGCTATCGCTTCGTGAATGGGCAGTAAAGGGGTCTTTGATTCTCGGAATATGGTCAGGAGAATTCTTGCTATCGCGAATGGTTCGATGTGATCCTGCATCACTCAGCGAGTTATTATCATGCACCTCATCCTCATCATCAGCCTTGTATCGTGAGTGGTTTTGTGGAAACCCGTCCCCTCCAGCAAATATATTTTCTATAAGTTGATCCGGGGGCAGTTCATCAGGGAGTGTCGCCCAGGCTGCGGCTAAAGTAGAGCGATACATGTCTTGAAGATCACTGTATTCGCGACCTCTGTTATTGACTGAGGGGATGTGACCATCATTGTTTATTTCGCCATGCTCAGTGGACATAACCCCAGCAATTCCAGAGAATACGGTTGCGGGTTTAAGTGGCGGCCTGTATCAGCAGCTTTAGTTCCATTAATACACGCTATAAAAAGAGTTAACGTACGCAGTAAAGTTGCTGTCGCCTTCAATCTGGGATATTGCGATGCCAACTTTGACGGTGGCATTGATTTTGCTGTTCTGCATTAGATATCGTCTCGTGATTCCTTCATCGCTCTCCGTTTTATCCACGTATTCCGAAAGATTCAATTTGATATTTCCCAGTGGTACTCTGTCAGCCCGATTTTCTGCAGTAAACTCCTGGAAGATATCAAGCTGAAGTTCACAGTCCTGCAACATCTGGTTCCGATCAACCGTTAGTCTAACAACTGTCAGCTTCTCATAATCCCAGGATGCCCTGTGATCATGAAGCAAGGCTTTTTCCGTATGACCATTGTGGTCGGCAGACGCCGATGATGGTAGTTGCCATTTGACGTATGCAGTACCAACTACCAAAGGGACATTGATCATATCAATGATCTGTTGTGCGTATTAGTGGATGCAACCACACTTAGGGAAACTAGTCTTACATACGCGTAGGCTAAGCGTAAATCTAGGCTAAGAGATTATCAGAGTAAGCAGTAAGCCAGAGCAGAGAAGTGTAGGGTATTTGGTTATTTCATACCCTTCGGCTCTTAGGAACTATAAAGTGAGATTCAACGGTCAGCGATTCGACTGTATAAATAGCATAGTTTGAACAGTCATTTTCAGATCTTGGTTGAAATTTCAACTATGGGATGTTAAAACAGAGAACTCACCGAAAGCCTGCATCCTGATAACCAGTATTTTGACGCGTTTAGTCCACCAGCATATCACAGCCTTTAGAATATAAGTGTAAACAGAAATCTAACATTTCTTGAAGAAGAAAGGAAAAAATAAAGAAAAACAGATACGTATTAAGTACTCTTTGCCTCTTTCTTGACCAAGCTTGGCATCATGTTTCTCTTTCGGTGGTTGAAGCACTGACCAAACTTTCGCTGGATGACTAAACCCGCTGATTAAGTACACAATTTACAGGCATCATGTGACTTCTAAATAACCTTCCTCCTTGGAATAACTATTCCAAATGGAACTTGTTGGCATCTGACGTTCTTGGCAAACATATGGTATTTTCAGGCTTCCAACGTCGTTAAACGATATTCAAAACGACCCGTCCGGCTTTCCACCCACCACCCTCCGCCCTCCCCTCTTAATGATATATGCTCTCGCGCCCAATATGGTAGCAATGTCCACTATTTTAAAGGGGGGTAGTTATTTGATGGCGCAATTTGGATAGAGACTCTTTATTATTCATTCTCAATTATTTTTATTGGCCCTACCGACTCATGAAATGAAGCCAGCTAACTTCTAGTGGATAATTATGCTGTCTAGTAGACCTCACCTATGGCTCCGTACATACGCTGTGAGGTTTGTGTCCAACCACGACCAAGTGTTTTCCATCAGGACATATGATGGGAACTCCTGACCTTTCGATATAAACTGCATATCAAAATCCAAGAGCACTTTTGCCAGGAGAATCTCCGAAACTTTCACACCAATAAACCGCCCAGGACAGAGTCCAGTGCCATAGCTAAACGCTAGGAATTTCTCAGAAGCTGTCGATGCACGCGCGGTACATGTATTAGAATCCGCATCATAAAACCGGTAGCCGTCAAACGTTGTTGGGTCTGGGTAGTTCCTAGGGTCCCCATGGACGCATTTCGTCGGTATTCCAATGCAAGTTCCCTTTGGAAGATTCATGTCTAGAGACTCAATTCTAAGTGGCTTATTTAATCGACGCGATACGCTCACTAGTGAAGAGGTTAGTGAAGGCCTGTCTCGCATAAGCTATGGATTTGGTTACCTGAAATCGGCGCATACAAACGTAAGCTCTCGCGCATGAAGCTTTCCAACTTTGGTGTATGCGCCAAAAAATTGGAGTTCCAGCCTCCATGAGATTCAAGGGAGCCTGAGACCTCCTCTCTCAATGCGTCGACGTATTCAGGGTTTGCCATACAACGAACAAACATGGCACTCAAAAGTGGAGTGATAGGCCCCCAGACCTCATAAATATGGAACAATGTTTTCATGAAGAGACTTTCAATGTCGTTCTCCTCTGTCTTTGTATTTCCACTCATCGAAAGAAGGCCCTCCTTGAGAGCTTGCTTTAAAAAGATGGTCGGCATACTCATATCTTCGCCAGTTGATTCCCCAAGTCGGAGAAGCTGCACACGGCGCTTGATTTCGGGTACGACGTTCTTTCTGACAACTGAGATATTGGAGCGAAATTTACGGTGAACAGGGGACAATCTCCAGAGTAATGGAAATAAGAATCTTGGCCAGCGAGCAAATTCGTTGATAACTTCCTCAATCCCCAAGACATGGGTGGTTATGTGTTGCATGAGAATGGGGTCTCGCGAGAATTTTGGTCCAAGAACCAATGAAGTTGCATAATGCATAAGCACATTACTGACTACCTCAATTGGATTGAACTTGCTCCATTCTATACATGTGTTAGATGGTGGACTGAAAAGAAGGGTTTAGGAGAAGACACCTTTGCTACTTGGGTTACCGAAAAATGAAGACAGGAATTCTTCGGCATCCGTTAGGACGAGGGAGTGGACATGATCTATCAATTGAAATCGGCTACTAAGCACATATTCCTAAATCGGGCCGGCAATCAAATGCAAACAAGTACTTACCAGTGTGTTTCTTTTGGTTGTATGCGAGGATGGCGTTGATGTGCGTTTGACAGTCAGCATTGGTATGGTATCCTATAGCCGACGCCTACTGCAATGTTAGAACTAACCAGGAAGAGGTATGGCAAGGACATTTAAGCGACGCGTTACATTCTCAACATAGTTCATGAAACTGAGGTGATCAGCTGGCAAATTGCACCATTCTTTCATGGACTCCAACGGGAGCATAAGCATCCAATTATCAAGATCTGCCTTTATCGCAAACGGCTTTCCTTGTTTGGTATACTGGTATCATTTTAGTATACGTGATTAGTTAAATTATCCAACGATTAACTAACCAACCAGCTAATTAACTAGTTAACTAGTTGACTCACTCGGTAGGCTAACTTATCTTGAAATACGCATGTTGAATGGCATCCTCTAGCTCGCGCCCGCTTAGTTGGCGGCGGAACCTTGCCCACAGGAGGTTTTGGCTTGTTACACGATGGAGGTTTCTGACAGGCCAAGTTCGCAGAAGATAATCTGCATGGTCAATGAGAAGAACGACCAAAACTACAATAAAACAACAGAGAAGAAACAGTTGAAGAGATCCGAAAAGGTTGAAGTTATGGATGTCTGGCTTCAATAGGTCGCTCACAGGTACCCAGAACGATGATTGTGAGGACATAGTGATTAAGAGGCACCTGCAATTGAGCTAGCAATTTTCTTGAGTACCTCACCGGGGGCGTCGACTTGTAACTGTGTCAGTCGTTGATCATTGAGAAATGCCATTGAATATTTATAACTATCGTCCCTCTTCTTTCCACAGTGTACTCCAAAAAATTTGGCCCAGCCACCCGTCCGCTTTGGAATATTGGTCATGCTGCTGCGTAACCCTCCTTCATGCCCCTTGCGAGGACATTCACAAACCCACTTGAAAACTCCGGAGTAACTTATTCGAGCCCAAAAATTAGTGAATAGTTAATTAGGCGTCTGGGGCTGGAAGATCTACCCTTTGCAACCTCCCTCATCCGACTGCCCTTCGTAGAAAATCATGATTGGTGGCATCTTGAGAACTACGTGAGTCAACTAGGTAGTTAGTTACATAACCTTTTGATCCCGACTGGAAGAATTGTTCAATCGAACCATCTTTTAGGGCTTCGTATGCAAGGTTGTGCCACGTAACTAGCTGTACCCCATAATACTGGCGATAGTTTCATACAGCTCTCATTCTCCTTGAGAAGCAAAGATAGTCGACGAGTTTAACACTCGACAATTGATAGTGAGGGCAAGATACAGTTATGCAACACCTGAGCGCAACGGTAGGACGGCTGGCACAGCTAACTAATACTCCGTACTAGTTATTTAGCCATAACTAACTACAAGTTGCGTAAAATCTGACAAGAGGAAAAGGCTACTCCATATGTCCATCTCTCTGATGGCCATATCTAAATCAACCTTGAGTCCTGCGCCCCCACCCACAAGACTCAAGTTTGGGATCAGATACCAGGCTAGTCAGAGAAGCTGGCGGAGCTGTTAGACGACATTAAGATCCTCTGTAGAAATAGATAGTCAGTGGAGGTGGAGGTGAAGAGGAGAGTTTGAATATCCCCTCTGTCACTGGTAGAAATGTATGCAACTAAGATGCAAGAGCCTGAACCAACCTAATAACTACAAGCTAAGACCTGCCGATCTACCGAGTGCTCTGTATTGCTTGTTCCCATCAGATAGAAGCAGCTGATGTGGCTGAAGGTAAGGTAGAAGTTGGCTTTTTGGAACACTCATGAAGGAAATAATATTTAGAGAAGCGTAGAGAACGGGTTCAGCAGGCAATACATTTTACACCATAACCATTTTTGCTATGCCAACCATCTTTATTCAATTTTTGACATAGTTACTCACTCTAATGATATTTGCTATAATGGGCCCGCTGGAATGGTTAGCACTTGTGATTCTGACCGTACGGCGACCCCCTGTTTGTTGAAATGTCGTTTAGTCAATGTAACACAAGATGACGGCTAATATTAGGGGAAACGCTGCAGTGGTTAGGTTATCATGTCTCACTGGCTTTTTATAACATCTTCCTTCACCCTTTACGCAACTACCCAGGTCCAATTCTCGACGCGGCCAGTCAGCTCATATACTCATATCATATGGTCAAAGGCGACAGCTGTAAGTACATAGCATCGCTTCACGAACGTTACGGCGATGTCGTTCGGGTTGGACCTAGAGAGTTGTCGTATATCAGCCCTTCAGCAAATCGAACCATATTTGCCGGAAAATCAAACAAGGACACGATCTATGAAAAGAACCCAGTCATATGGCTTCTGGGATCCACCGAGCCGGTAACCAACCTTTTTTTTGCACACTCGCACGGAAATGTCCGGCATCGCAAGCTTATAACGCCTGCTTTCTCTGAAAATGCAATTCGCGAGCAAGAGCCAATTCTCCAGAATTTCGTTGATGGACTGATCAAAGGCCTCAGTAACCGCTCAGGGAAAGCTCAATTTCCGGATTCTGAGGGCATTGTGAATATAGCTGCGTGGTATAATTTTGCAGTTTTCGATATCCTGACACGGCTCTGTTTTGGTGAGGAGCAAGGTTGCCTTATACGTGGGGATTATGATCCCTGGCTTCAAGCACTGTATGAAGGGCTTCTAATGTCACACTTTGTGCAAGCCGCACATCGGCTAAGACCGTACCATATCATATTGGAACGATGCATCCCTTCAAGTCTCACTAAAGCTCATAACCCGCAGTCAGCAGAATACTACCCCCGAAAACTGAAAGAAAGTCGGGACAAGCAGGGAAATGTTAAGCCAGTTACCACTCATCCAGAATTCGCATCATTCTTCCAAGAAGGGTTATCAAATGATGAACTGGAGGATAACGTTAATGTTCTTGTTGCTGCAGGAGCTGATAGCACCATCACCACACTTTCATCTCTGACTTATTATCTTACTCATAACCCCCAGTGTTATGAGAGGTTAAAGAGCGAAATTAAGAACGCCTTTCAAGCTGAAACTGATATCACTCTCGCAGCTACGAGGCGCTTACACTACCTTGGAGCTGCCATCAAAGAAACCATGCGTATACACCCACCGGTTCCTGTGGGACTTCACCGTGTAACTCCGAAAAAGGGAGCAGTCATCGATGGGCGGCCAGTCCCTGGTGGGGTACGTGCAGTTAATTCCCTTTGTTACTCTGTACCTGACATTGAGACTTTATAGACGTGGGTATCGGTGGCCAACCTGGCCGCCAGCCGCTCACCCAAGTATTGGCGTGACCCCGAAAAATTCATTCCAGAACGATGGCTCGAGGAAGATTCGAAATTTTCCAGCGATAACCGCCAGGCCTATACTCCGTTCTCCATCGGACTTCGCAGCTGTATCGGAATGACGTATGAAACCTAGCTCTTCCTTCCAGGTATAAATACTAATCATGTTCATCAAAAAGGTTCTCAAATGCTATTCTGCGTCTTGTCACAGCCCGGTTGCTCTGGAACTTCAATCTTGAGGCACGGCCGGACAACATTGATCCCCACAACCTTCCAGAGTATTCAATCTGGGAGGCAAAGCCACTGTGGGTGAAGGTTTCCCTAGCCAGCGTCCCCCAAAAGTAGTCAACTGTGTTGTGATCTACACCAATCAACACAGTAGTGTGATTTCTCTTGATCATGGGGATATAGGGGGCATGGCTGGCTGATTTTAAAACCGGTCACTTGCCAAAAGACGTTGTTTTTCTCTAGGTTAAAGGATAGAAGCTATATGTTTGTTTGCGGGAACTGCAGTTAACGTACTTGAATATACTTAAATCCCATAACTTAGCAGGAATTGTTATACAGAATGCTAAGAAATAGATAGCCATCACTTGATATTTCCACACTTCTACAGTGTAACCATCCTTGATTAGAAGTGTTCTTTAAGCTCCCAAACTAGTAATCCTGAATTGAGCAAGAGAAGCCATGTGATTATCGGTAAGTCGATTGGTAAACAGTAGTAGATAGTCAGAGCTAGTATAACAACAAGCCCTATAAAATGGCTCCCTTGTAGTACAGAAGGACAATAATCTCATGGATCAGGATAACAAAGTAATTATTAATAAATCCTATAATAAGGCATTCAGATGCAAAATCAGAAGTGAAGTCCAAAAATAATGCAACCAATAATCTCGTCTCAAACTAATCACGTGATATGACCAGGGGAGGGACCTTCAGGTTATTGGTTACCAGTAATAACCTTCTGCTTAATAAGCCTGCTAATTTCATTTTGACTTGCCTGCTTTGAGCGCTGACTTGGATCTCACAATCTACGCCATCTTCGCTTTGAACGCAGAAAAGCGACATAATGGAGACAGATAACCTCCCTCTCTCCCCTCCACCAGAGCCCAAATCATCGAACTCAGACACGAATCAAACCGTCAGCCTGGACTCGCCTCTTCGAACTACCCCCATCCATACGCTACTACCTGATGTCCGGGTTCCTTCTGATCCCTTACCAAGTCACCGATACCACCCTGTTACATGTGCACCACTGGATGTAGTTGAATTCCAGGCTGAGTTACAACAGCTGAGAAAGCAATATACGACCTCCATTGCGGCGCGTAAGGCGCAGGAGGAGGCGGCTAAGGAGGTGAAGAAACGGATCGAAGAATCGAAGGAGAAAACAGAGCAAATCCAAAAGACCATGCAGAGAAAAACTGAGGAGCGTGAGATGGAGAGGAAAGTATTTTTGAAGATAAAGAAGGAAAAGGAGGAGAAGATGCAGGGTGCATGATTCATTGGAGATGATGGTGTGCTTTGATCGATCACGGGCCATAGCTTTCTCCAGTGAAAGCCTATCTGATAATCTGTACCGGCTATCATAAAGAAGGTCAGCCGAAGAATGTGGTATCATCGAAGAGCTTCTCGTATAGGCTCACATTTTACCTCTGAATGTTGAGGCGAGTGTCGACCTGCCTTACATTAGAGGGGCCCTTGCCGCGGCAATAACTATTATCTTTGGTAGCGCAACCCAAGATTGACCTGGTTTATGCGGCAATAGGTCACCCATCAGACTCAACTGCCATGCTACTTTTGCCGCCGCGCTGCCTTCCCCCTTCACTCTGTTATTTGCTCGATTGGTCAGTTAAGGAAGTTGTCCTTGAATCGACAACCAGGGAGATTAACATATCCGGAGGCTTTTCGGTCCCTGCATGAAGATTACTATACATTGTCTGTCCCTTGGAAGGCCGAGGTGACTACACTCAATGATGCTCCTTTGTGAGATACAAATCGGAGAAGTGAAAAGAAACTTATCTCTCTAAGCAGTATCACTTGCCGCAAGTTGCTAGATTACATAAACTCCCAGCTATTCTACATTTAAAAACATACACTTTCACTTCCCCGTTCTAAGAGACATTTAAAACGTCAGAAATCCTGGCTTGTGGTGCAAATGATAACTAACTTATGGGAGAAACCAGGAAACCAGGCGTAGTAGTAAGCAAGCAGGCTGAGCAGTGGTAGTTGTAGGCGAAAAAACAAACGAGCGAAGATGGACGTGCACTGTTTCAGGTCAATCAACAAAAGCTCCGATCATCAAAGAGACCGTGCACCGACAACGACGTCGACATCTTGATGAAGAAACACAGGACGAACAACAAGGATGCAAGCCAAAATAAACAAATATGATAAAAAGCAACCCCTTTTCGCGTGTGTCTCGCGCCTACTTCGCGCTATCCATGGCTGGAGCCGAACAACAGTGCAGAGTATGCACTCCTATGTTTCAAGTTGATGTCCCCTGTCAATGAGTCATCGTCGTTCGTTCTAGATGCCAGCGAAAGCAGGACTCGAGCCATCGACATCCTCATTGAAGCAGGAAGATCCGTTGCGAGAGTTATCGGGAGCATCCATTGTGTGTAGATCACGTCTTTCCTTGGCTGGCGGGGAACATCGACTTTTTGTTTCAGAGTTCATGATGTCTGTCTTGAAACCGAGCACGGCCTCTGGGGATTTTTCAATAGCCGACGAATCAGATATCGGAAGAAGGATCCCAAAGGGCGGGACAGGGCTCAAGCATGAAACGATTCCG